GAGAGAGAGAGAGAGAGAGAGAGAGAGAGAGAGAGAGAGAGAGAGAGAGAGAGAGAGAGAGAGGTGGTAGAGAAACACAGAGAAGAGGTGAGGTTTAAACGAGTTCTTTAGTGACTGTTTATACAGAAACCCTAGCATAGACTGCACACACAGAGAGAGAGAGAGAGAGAGAGAGAGAGAGAGAGAGAGAGAGAGAGAGAGAGAGAGAGAGAGAGAGAGAGAGGTGGTAGAGAAACACAGAGAAGAGGTGAGGTTCAAATGAGTTCTTTAGTGACTGTTTATACAGAAACCCTAGCATAGAATGCAGAAGCTCCTGATGTGTGCCCCGTGAGGAGTGTGTCTCGTTATATGTGCTCTTTCACGGTTTGAAGAGTTGTTGTTGTTACCAGAATAGTCCATCCTTATATCATTTTTAGGACTTCATTTTCCCCTTCCAGTTGATTCTCTACTCTGCGATGGTAGTTCTTGTTGATTTTTCTCACCTTTCCTCGAGGATTCATTTGCAGAGCTTTTCCAGAACAGGCAAAATTTTCCGCATTCAGATGCACGTTTTGCATTCGGGCGAGGTAGGGATGGCACTTTGGCAGAAACTGTCCTGATCATCTTCTATATATGTTCTTTGAATTTTTTTAAAAACTTTTTGGTATATCATAACTATCATTATATTTTTTCCGTTAATTCTGGTGGCGTTGTGGGTGTGATAGGCTGTTGCTATCGGGATGCTGGAGCATGCAGACGAGTAATTTGATGCTGTGATTTATATCATGATGATGAAGTCCATCCCGTTGTCTGTCATATACAGTGGAAATCTGAAAAACTCTTTTTTGCACCAAATTTTGGGGTGAACAGCGGCAGCGAATTTTTCCATCGTAGCATCTAGCAGTCGTCGATCGCTTGCTCTTTTACACTTTTTCATTTCTTACCCTGCCAACACGGCTCCCCCTAAACCTTGCTCAATTGTGGTGGTCTGCTATGTGCCTGTTTTCCATGCTGTTCTGTTACTCCGACGAGACTTAGGGCCTCGCTGCACACCACTCTTCAATTCAAATGTGCGAAATGAGAATGAATCTTCCGCTAGAACGTGGAAAGATGCACCACCATATTTTTTGTCTGTCATGACTATGGAGAGTAATGCAGCAAGGCCCTTCCTTACTTTAGGTATTCAACTGGGTGTAGGACTACCATGCCTGGTTTCATGACTCGATGCATGCAGGCAATCTCTTCGGTCCAATGTGTTCCGGGGAATAGCAGGCAGCGGCCCAACAACACCTCACGCCTCTCTCAGATCCATGGCTTTGCCTCTGATGGAGAGAGGCCTGTGACCTGTTGTTGGGCCGCTGCCTGGTCTGACTTCCAGCTACTTTTTTTTATTTTTTTTTATTTTTTATATATAGTATTGTATACAACGACACTTGGCTCGAATGCAAATTTTGTTGTCGCTTGGCTGCCGCTGGATTTTTGCACTTGCTGCAGTTTTTAATCTTGGACTGTTTGGCCCGGGCACTGACTTGCTGGTCGCAGCTGTCTACTGACTCATCCAGAAGTTGCTGGGCTTCCCTGCGGCTGAGCTGCTGACCTGGACTTCGACTGACAGGCCGACTGAACTGACAGACTGACTGAACTGACAGACTGACTGGGCCTATCGGATCGCCTGTGCCTACCTGATAAATTTTGGACGGTGGGAAATCCCTGAATGCAAGGCTCCCTTCTATTTATCGGGAGCAGCAGCAGTCCTGTTCCTTTTCCACCGGCAAGTCAAAAGCATAATACAGGAAGGGTATATCACTAGGACAATGGTTAGGGTATAATGTGTGTGGATTCCGCCTAGGGTGGTTTAGTGCACAACAGGTCATGCCTGGGCGCTCGGAGCCCCCGTGCAACGTGGCTTGCTCGGTTATGCTCCCACTGTGGGTTAGGTAGGGTAAAGGGCGGCCTTGCTTAGCACCAGTGTCTTTAGGTAGGGTAAAGGGCGGCCTTGCTCAGCACCAGTGTCTACAACTGCAGTCTCACTCCGGGTTGGATGATGGTCCTTGTATTGAGGCGTAGGGGACAGCTAGGGGTGAATAATCAAGTGGTCGGTGGGTTTCATCCAGTCGGGCTGGCTGCTGAAAGACGCACTTCTCATGGCTCGGCGTCCACCCTCTACAACACTGTGGACTTTCTTCAATAAGAGAAAAGAAAAGAAAAGAAAAAAGCATAATACAGTCGTACGAACACAATGCCCCTCCCCATTTTTTATGCCTGGGAGGTCCATTGATCACTTCCTCGGGAAGGATGTACCGCCCCTCGCCCCTGCCTATGCTGGACTCAAACTTGCAAGTCTCCGAGCCTTATCCGATGCCTGCCCCCTTGGTGGACCCTGCGTCACCGCCAGTGCTGAACAGCCTTGTTCCCCGGGAGACCCTGGGGGGGTTGACCCTCGTGGTTAATCTGTGGTTGCAGTTGCGGCCGGGGCGGCTGGGCTCCACTGCCAGGGCGAGGTTCGGAGGTTGGTCTGGAAGATCACAGTCGACGCGCACAGGCAGGCGAGCACTCCGTAGCCGACACCACACACTGGAATCTCCTCACTCGCAGGGATCCAAGATCAGTCTCGCACTGGCCTAAGAACACTCCACACAGATCTGGACCAGCACCAGGATCCTGGATGGAGGGTAGAGGAACCCCAAGCACAGGCGACCCGGCAATAGCGAGCACTGGGGATTCAGCGTTTAGGGCTTAAGGGACCACACAACACGGCAAGTCACAGGGCTTCCAACTACTTTCGTTTGCGTACAGATTTCTTTTTTTTTCTTTTCTTTTTTTGGGTCTAGTCATCTGACACATTGGGCCAAGAGTTTTGATAAGTAAACAGTTGAAGGCTCACTTGTTTAAGGGGGGGGAAAAAAAGGATGGCCATTTTTTTCTGTTTTCTTTTTTCTTTTTTGTGAAGGCTTATTCTTTGAAGCCCAACCAATTTCAGGGTGGCTACTTGGTGCAATGGTTTCTTAAACTTTGTTTAGGGTTCAGAAATCAAATGTCAAATTGACAAATTGCAATTGTCAAATTTGCGCAGTCCTAATTTATTCGTTGCTATCTTGATGCGTGCATCTTGAAGGCAATGAGTCAATTTCTTTGCATCCTCTTGGTTGCCTGAACTCCCGCAGCACCTCATTCCGATGACGTCGCTGTTTGCGGATGATCTCACCGTTCTCATACGTGCAGACGCCGACAGCATCGGGGCCCTCACGCGAGTTATACATCAGGTCTCATTAGCGGCAGATATGAAAGTTAACTGGGGCTCCAAAACGGAAGGCTGGTGGCTGTGTCCTAGGGACCAGCCCCCTGCAGTTAAGTGGCAAGCAAAAGAAGAAGCCATTAGGATTCTGGGCGTCAGACTAACAGCAGTGGGCCCTCCCCCGGATCACGGGGAACACACTGGTACACCTGGCAATTCGTGGGGAGCAGCACATGCTGGGAACCGGGGCCCAGCGTCCCTTATAATGGAAATACATTGACGATTGATGATCATTGATGATAATTTGGGATGATCGAGGAGCATTTAGGATGATTCAGGATGATAGAGTGGATGATTGAGGTCATGAAATAGAGATAGACGATGACTAATCAGAATGATTGTCTACTCAGCACTCAAATACTATCCTATCCCTAATTTCCTGTATCCATTCCAACCAACCAATCACAACTGAGCCTGTGCTGTGCACCAATCACGCCTCTTCCCGGTCTCACACCCCAATCTGGCTCGGTTACAGGGCAGCGCTATCCATCCGCCCAAGCTCCGACCATCGTCGGCCAGATTGTAGCCATTAGTCAAGTTTGCAGATTGCCTTCCTCCCTTGGCAATCCCGGACCTCTATACAAAGCCTCAAGCTCCTACTCAAGCAGGTTACAGGGCACTGCCCCAGCGCCGGCCAGCGTCTTTCTGGCGCCAACTCAACATGGCCATTACACAAAAAGGCTTAATTAGGAAATTAGCTAAGCTAGAATGCCAACTAGAAATCTAGGATCTGATAATATCAGAATCCTGATAAAAAAAACCTCCCTGATGATGAAATTTGACAAGTACCC